AAACTATAGTCCTCAGGAGAGACAGGTGACTGAAAGTAGAGGCTCGCATGACTGAGAAATCGTTTCTTGCCCAACTGTGGACTTTCCAAGCCATACCGCACAAATGAGCATAAATGCGAACAAATAAGGGGCAGGTATATTTAACCAGCCTACAAGGTGCAAGTTTGTGTTTTAACTATAAATAGAAATTCAATGTCACCACTTATCACAGCAGTCCTATGAATCAATGGCCCCTAGAGGCTCCAAGAGCACAAGAGTCATTTGTCCACCAGTCACAAAAAAGCCATGCCAATCACTGACAGCCATCACACCAAATAAAAGGAAACCAGCTAGGAGATTACAGGTATCTCTAGTCCTCATCACCTGCATCTGTTGTAAGTACTATGTTAATTTTTTAGCATGTTAAACATCAGGAAACTAATCAATATGTACCATTATTTCTAAAGGCTGAATGATGACTGATAGTGTTTAATTATTAAGGTTAAGAGTCTTTGACCATCAGGAGGTCTGCGGCAGTACTGACAATTACCAGTTGATCTCTAACTGATTTTTGAGAAAAATAAAAAGGATAAACCAAAATTCAACAGTTATTAATAGAAGCTAATTTCAATCAAAACTAAAGCTCAGCTAAATATTTGTTGCTGTTGCTGCATTAAAATGTTTTTAAAAAAAAAATGTAAATGACTTTTTTTTTTTACTTTCTTTACATTATTTTAATGAATAGTAATGGAAGCTAAATATGTAAATACATGAAAATGATACTATATGCCTGTCACTGTATTATAAGTCCAGTTTAAAGTGCAACATTCCATTTGATATAATATATAACAAGGGATCCCTTCTCTAAAAAAGGCTGAAGACCTCTACTTTGATTAATTACAATGTATGCACATGATAAAACAATTGAATCTTTTTTAATTAATAGCTGAAGATATATTTAGTGCTCTCAGAACACCAGAGCCAGAATTTCAGTGTAAATGTAGTTTGTGGTCTATATGCAGGACTCTTGTGGAAGCATGTCTAGGGTGGAAGGTTACGGAGAGTCTGACCTGCGCTCACAGCTACGAGCATATAGGACTGAGATCGCTATGGCAATCCATGACCCTTTCCCACTGCTGTATGGGCTGGCGGATCACGACATAATCTCTGAACAGATCCTAAGGGTGAACATTTTCATAAAAATTACATTCCTCAGCATAATTACAAATATGCGTAATCATAGTTCATTAAATGCTCAAACAAGAAACTAATACTATTACCGATTAACACTTAAGGAGACTTTAGAGCGAAAGAAAAAAGATGGGATCCACAAAGCTGTCTACTCACTGCTCACTTTAATACTGGACCAGGATGCCACAGTCCTCCAGGGATTCTGGAGCAATCTCTGTAAAGAGTACAATAAGCAGTGTTACCCAAAACTGGAAACCCTTGTTATGAACCTTCCCAAAGGTACAGTACACAGGTCTGGCAAACATAAGTAGGTTGGAGGATAATAATTACAGTTTAAGTGATGATAATCTGATTTGGCAGGGTTAAAGCAAGTGGCCAGACATGCAGGGAACCCCAGGTTTGAGCTGCAGTCAGGCAAGAAGAGAGGGTTGGCCGAAAAACAAATGACCCACCGGCCACATCACCACACCAAGAAAGCCTTAACCTCCAGCTCAGGTATGGACACTGGCACACACACAGATATTCATAATTCTGTTCATATAGCAAATTCCCAATTAACAAAAATATGTTCTAAGAATAAGAACATATTGCTAACATTCCCAATACATAATACGAAAACATTATATTGTTATATCTATAAAATATCCATTTAAAAATTGATTTTCTTGGTTATGTAAATGTTAAAGATAACATTAAATGGCTAACGTTAGTTTACCCAAAAATGCAAATTATGTTATCATTTACTCACCCTCAAGTTGCTCCAACTAAAATGTTTCAGAAAAACATCCCATAGCATAAATGATGTATAATGTATTTACTAAAGACCAGATAACTTCAAATGAACGTTCTATTAACATTACTGGAAGAATGTTTGTTCATAACCTTACCTTTATTAGAACAAAACCTTTATTGTTCTGAGAATGTTAGCTGGGCTGGAGAAAAGAGGGGTCTTTTTTTTCTTTCTTCTATGGCCTTGTGATGTGACAGTCAAGTCAGGTTATTTTCATTTAGTTTGAATAATAAGCCAAACAAAAACTAAATAGCAACCGATTATTATTTATTAAAAACGGCCTACGTTTTAGAGGTATTATTACTACTAACAGGCCCAATGTACCATTTTTACATTTCCGGTGATTTCAGAAGCAGAAGTCATAATAGCTGTGATGAATGAAAACTACAATAAATATTATTTTTCATTCCCATTTGATCCAATAACAAAATATAAAATCGACGATAGTGTTTCTATATAGCTTCCCAAAAGAGCAAAATAATATCGAGATTGATTACGGTGGCCAGCCGTTTACAGTTTTCTATAGCCTAATTTAATGCCAGTATAACACAATAGTACTATAAATTTGCATAAATGTTTTTTTTTACAGAAAAGATTCCAAAAGTGTGATTTGTGATGTTCGAATCATTTAACAAGTACACTATTCATTCTTTTATCCTTCATGTACTACATATTATGTCGCTTATATACAATACATTTAAATAATTAGCTTTGTACACCGCAAGGGTAAATTGCACCTTCATCTCTGTTTTGTGAATGAGAGTAAAGTTAGGCTAGTTCTTCAGTAAAAAGATTCCCCTATGTTTTCATCACGCTGCTGTAGGATCTGCCGAACAAAGGGGAAAATGTTTACCTTGGCTAAGACTGACATTTAAATGCATATGAAATAAACATCGCATAAAATACTAAAACTACTTAGCAGTGTAGTCTCGACAAATTAATCTTTTGTAAGGGAAAAAAATGTTTACGCATGCTTGCAGGCAAGCAAGCCCTCATCGGTTCTCCAAGAATCACGTGATATTTTACATTCAAAAAGGCGAATACGATTTATAATCTGAAGGAACACGTGTCAGTTTGTATGGCCGTTCTAGTTGCAAACATGACAGTCCTGATAACTCAGTGTCTTCACTGTTTCAGGAAGCAAAGGCAAGCAGATGAGAAAGACAGATGGTGCAGCACTTTCTCAGGTCTCAGTGGGAAACGGTAATCACTTATTTGTGTAAATTGTGTCATTAGAAGAC